TATTTTAAAAGATTATGGTAGTTATAGATTATGGTAGTTATCAAAAATCTTGGTATTTTAAAAGATTATAGTTATTGGTAGTTATAATGACGATTCATTTAAAAAATACAACGTCATGTATACTTTACCAACCCTCCCATCGTACTCAGAATGACTATATATTTGAAAAATACAACATCAAATCATGTAGACTTTACAAACCCAGTATTATGGTAGGTATTAGGTTAGGAAATTTTTTTGTTCACACAATAAAATATACCCGATTCATCGCCTTGGCTAGAAAAAATAACATAATGTGACTCCTGAGCCAACCAAGAAATTTTGAGGTTAGTATTTTTTGATGTGTAATATATTTTAGAATGTAATAATTTATGAATTCTATTAAAAAAATGAAAATGCTAAAACAATGAAAGAGTAGGAGATTAAATTTATATTTTTAAATATTGGAATAGTATTTTTTTTCAATAGTGATGTTAGCCATGAAGCAGTAGATTTTCATTTATGCAATGTATACTTAATTTTGATAATTTATAGATTAATTGGAATAATGAGCCTAATTAGAATAATATTCCTAATTACAAGAAGAAAGCAACATTTTAGATCAGATTCTCAATAATAATCAGAGGGTGACTCTCAATAAAAGCAAATTTAGCTAGAAAGATAAGCAGAATTGGAAAAGCAAAAACTATTGTAATCTGAAAAAAGTTTTAAATAACCAAAGCAAAAAATTCTACCAAAGAAATAACAAAAATTATCATAAAAAGAAGATAGATCAATATAATGGTAGAAGTAATAAATATAAAAGGCATTAAATTAAAGAGATAATAAATTTGATTTTTAATTATTATAAAAACCCTACAATTAAAATAACTAAGATAAAAAATAGAAATAGAAATAAGAAAAATAACAATTTAGATTAGAGATTGAAGAAGATGATAATGACGATGAATGGATCGAAGTCAGAAGCAAAAAAAAATCCCTTTAATTGTAAAAATAAGCAAAGCCATAAAAAATTTAGCAAAAATAGGAAAAAAAATTAAGATAAGGTAATGAATTAAAATAAAATTTGAATTAAAAGGAAAAACAAACTTAAAAATAATAATATCGCTAACAAAGAGATTTATATATTATCAAATAATCTTGGCAAAATAAATAATATATTTAAAAGTAACCAATATTTTAGTAATCTAATGAACTATATGNAATGATGAACATAGATTTAAAATAAGATGAAATTAAACAATAAGCTGTAAAAGAATAACCAATAGTTCAACCTTAAAAATAGCAATAATAGCCATCTTAACACAATGTACCATAAAAATCATCACAACCAATATAAAGTTCTACCTTAAAGGATTAACAAGCAAAATAATCTTAAACTTAACCAATAGTCTAAGTTTAACAAAAGATTCAAAATTAAGTTTAAAATTAATAAAATCAAAAAATGACTAATCAAGAAACAACCTAAACTTCTAATGAAAATAGTAAGCTTTAAAGTAAATTACAAAAAAAATAAAAAAAAAAGATTGAGGAAGAATAAAATGAAGAAGAAGAAGGATGGATATCTGTGGAACCAAAATAAGTTAAAATTATGTAATAATTGAGTTTAATATTTAGATAAAAAGAAGATGATTCAAATTAATAAGAAGCACAAGAAAATAAATAATAAAGAAAAAAGGGTTTATTTACAAAGGAAGAATATTAATAATTAAAAGAAGAAGCTAAAAAAATAGAAGAAGCTTATTCTATAAGAATACAATAAATAGAAGAGATTCATAGAGCAAAGGTAATCTCAAAACTAACTTAATATGAAGTTAAAAATGCTGATTAATTGTTTAAAACTTAATATGTTGCTGCTCCTCCAAAAATAGAATATAAAATGCCTGAAGTTTAGCCAAAGTTTTTGAAAAGGGAAGAGATAGATTAATTAGTCTAAGCTAAAATGCCAAAAACTAGAGTAGCTGGCTCAAATGAAGTTTTTGTGGAAAAATCAGAACCTCTTGCCTTCTAAAATGTTAAATAATCAGAAATTAAAAAAACAACATTTAAATCAAAAATTAATTTCTCTAAACCAATCCCATAAGAAAATAAGGAGTAGAAATTATTTACTGATCCCCCTATAACCTTTGAAACAAATAAAGACCCTTCTAAATCTTTCTTCTCAACTTAAGTTATTCTAACTGTTAACACAATTGGGAAAGATCTTTTTGGAAGAGTTAAGAGATACAGAAGACCAATATTAGAAAAAAAATAATCTGACTAAAAATAAAAGGAAATTTATTAAGTTAAAGATTATGAATTTTAAGAAAAATAAAATAATTAATAAGAGCTCTAATAAACAATTATAAATTTAAATGAAAAACAAAACAAGGAAAAGTCAGTAAATATTAATGATAACTAAAGTTCACAAAAATTAGAACAAAAAACTTTGGATAAGTAAAAAAATGTAATAAAAGAAACAACAATATAAAACAAATCAGAAATTCAAGATTAGAAAATTGAAAGCTCAAATTCAAAAAAACTTTAAGTAAGATTTTAGGAAAAACCTCTTTATGAACCTAAAATGTAGTAACCAGAAGTTGTCTAAAAGGAAAAAGTTTGCAATACCCCTCAAAATGAAGATGCCTTTGAATAAAATTAAAAATTGAATTAAAAGTAAAAAAGAACCTAAAAATAATAATATCGCTAACAAAGAGATTTATATATTATCAAATAATCTTGGCAAAATAAATAATATATTTAAAAGTAACCAATATTTTAGTAATCTAATGAACTATATGTAGTTAATGCACAAAATATAAAATAAACGATTTAGTTAAGTGATGATTTAAAAATATATTACTTAATTAAAAGCAAGCAGAAATAAATAAGTAGTAATTTCACATAGAGTAGGAGAATAAAATAAATTTTATTTTGGGCATGGTAAATTAATAAAATAAAGAGAAAAAATAATAATAAGTAAACTAATTGTAATCTGGAAAAACTTAATTTGATGTTGAATATGAAAATGTTAATGACTTTTAAGAAAACTAGGTCAAAGAATAATAAGTTGAATAAAATATTTAATTAGAATCTGAATAAACTTAATTGGATGTTGAAAAAGATGTGGTTATTAATAATCAAAATATTAATGACATTTTAGAAAACCAGGTTTAAGAATAGTAAGTTCAATAGATTACTCATTAACCTGAGATATTGGATGAAAAATAAGTGATCTTAAATAAAAATGTGAATGACATTTAAGAAAACTTGGTATAAGAAAAATAAAACGAATAAAATATTTAATTAGATTCTGGATAACCTGAGATAGTGGATGAAAAAGTAGTGAATTTTAATAATTAATATGTTAATGACATTTAAGAAAACTAAGTCTATGAATAATAAGTTGAATAAATTATTCAATAAACTCTCATCAAGTTGAGATAGTGAATGAAGAAGGAGTTAGTATGAATAATGAAAATGTTAATGAAATTTAGGATAATTAAGAATAAGAATATCAAGTTGACTTTGATTAAATTTAATAAAATATATAAGAAGAAATTAATAATAGAGGCTTATCATAACCATAATAAATATTTAATGACAGAAAAAATACAACAGATTTAATTTAAAAGTCTTAAAAATAATAAATTTAATGTTAAGAATTATTAAAATTTGATGATTAAATATAGCCTAATATTGAAAACCATAAAACAATAAAAAATCATGATGAATAAGAATAAAGCTTTGAAATTATTATAAACTACCTTCACAAAAATATTACTATTTTAGTTTATTTTAATACAGTTGTTTAAGAAATTATTAATGTAGTTAAATAACTGTATTAAGTAAATGAAAATATAAATTTAAAACTTGATGATTAAATATTGCCTAATAATTAAACCATAAAACAATTACAAATCAAAACAGGTTCATTATTAACAGTCGACATCTTTGAATAAGAATAAAGCATTGAAATTACTATAAACTATCTTAACCAAAATACTCCTATTCTAGTAGATTTGGATACAACTGTTCAAGAAATAATAGACACTATTGCAGAACTTTATTAAATAAATGAAAAAATAAATTTAAAACTTGATGATTAAATATTGCCTAATAATTAAACCATAAAACAATTACAAATCAAAACAGGTTCATTATTAACAGTCGACATCTTTGAATAAGAATAAAGCATTGAAATTACTATAAACTATCTTAACCAAAATACTCCTATTCTAGTAGATTTGGATACAACTGTTTAAGAAATTATTGACCTTGTTAAATAACTTTATGAAATAAATGAAAATATAAATTTAAAACTTGATGATTAAATATTACCTAATAATTAAACCATAAAACAATTACAATTCAAGAAAGGTTAACTTCTAACAGTCGATATCTTTGAATAAGAATAAATCATTCAAATTACTATAAACTATCTTCACCAAAATACTCCTATTCTTGTAAATTTGGATACAACTGTTCAAGAAATAATAGACACTATTGCAGAACTTTATTAAATAAATGAAAATATAAATTTAAAACTTGATGATTAAATATTGCCTAATAATTAAACCATAAAACAATTACAAATCAAAAAAGGTTCATTATTAACAGTCGACATCTTTGAATAAGAATAAAGCATTGAAATTACTATAAACTATCTTCACCAATATACTCCGATTCTAGTAAATTTGGATACAACTGTTCAAGAAATAATAGACACTATTGCAGAACTTTATTAAATAAATGAAAAAATAAATTTAAAACTTGATGATTAAATATTGCCTAATAATTAAACCATAAAACAATTACAAATCAAAACAGGTTCATTATAACAGTCGACATCTTTGAATAAGAATAAAGCATTGAAATTACTATAAACTATCTTAACCAAAATACTCCTATTCTAGTAGATTTGGATACAACTGTTTAAGAAATTATTAACCTTGTTAAATAACTTTATGAAATAAATGAAAATATAAATTTAAAACTTGAGGATCAAATATTGCCTAACAATAAAACCATAAAACAATTAAAAATCAAAAAAGGTTCTTTTTTAACAACGCATATCTTAGAATTTAAATAAATTATTATACTTTTTTTAAACTATAGAGAAAATAATATTATGATTGAAGTAAATTTGGATACAACTGTTCAAGAAATAATAGACACTATTGCAGAACTGTATTAAATAAATGAAAATATAACTTTAAAACTTGATGATTAAATATTGCCTAATAATTAAACCATAAAATAATTACAAATCAAGAAAGGCTCACTTCTAAAAGTCGACATCTTGGAATAAGAATAAATCATTCAAATTATTATAGACTATCTTCACCAATATACTCCGATTCTAGTAAATTTGGATACAACTGTTCAAGAAATAATAGACACTATTGCAGAACTGTATTAAATAAATGAAAATATAACTTTAAAACTTGATGATTAAATATTGCCTAATAATTAAACCATAAAACAATTACAAATCAAAAAAGGTTCATTATTAACAGTCGACATCTTTGAATAAGAATAAAGCATTGAAATTACTATAAACTATCTTCACCAATATACTCCGATTCTAGTAAATTTGGATACAACTGTTCAAGAAATAATAGACACTATTACAGACCTTTATTAAATAAATGAAAATATAAATTTAAAACTTGATGATTCAATATTGCCTAATAATTTTACACTAAGATAATTACAGATACAAAATGCTTAAATTTTGCTAGTATTTCAAATAAGATAATGATCTAGATTTAAAATTTTTAATATTATAATTTATTTAGACTTTTCCATCTCTTAAAACTAAAAAAAAAATTCCAAATACTTTATTACTTGCAAAACTAAGAATGCTAAAATGATTTACAATTCACGAAATAAATCTCTAGAATTCAACTTATTTTATCCCCAGTTTATTTCTTTCTTATTACTCCATTCATAATTATTTCATTTTATTTGTAATTCTTTTCATTACCATATTTCTCCTTCAATAACAAATGTATCTAGATATTAAATTAATATATAAATCTCCTATTTTTCAAATATCATAATTAATTTATAGAATAAATAATTTCCTTTTCCTAATTTATTAGTAGGCACTTTGCTGTAACATAGTTATCTCCCAAGAGTATTTATTACATTATCCAGTTCCTTTTAATCTAATTTCGTAATAAATTCATAAACCAGTAAACCTAAAAATTAAATCCACTTAGTTAATTCTCTGCCAAAATTGCTTTATAGGAAAATTATCCAAAAGTCAGTTTTTAGTTTTGCTTGCTCTTTTTAATAAAATATTCCTATTCTGTACCAATGGTATTTACTTGCTCATCTGCCTTTAAGTAAAGAAGTTATTTTTATTGATGAAGCCAAATTAAGCTAAAATTACATAAAAAATCAACTTAAAACAGAATAAAATTGTTGAAAATTTAAATAGGAGCACTAGGTGGATTCTGACAAGTTGTAACACCCTCTAGAAAAAGTATAGAGAATAGTTAATATATATGAGCCCCAATTTAGGGTGTCTCTTAATTAGAGCATGCCATTATATTTAACAAAATAAATGTAATTTAACTTAATATGAGGAATACTTCCAAAAGCATTATTTTGGCCGATAATTGCTTTAAAGGATAATGATTTTTTTTCCTAATACGTTAAAACAATTTAAATGACTAAGGCAATAAACTATATAGAATAAGTTATTTTCATTTCAAATAATAAGAGAGATTAAACCAGAACTTTCTTATATATTTAAATTATTATTAAATAAATACATCATAAATGTCTCATATACCTTTTATCACTTTCTTCTATTTGAATTGCATTAATGTGAGATGATTAAGAACTTCTAATATGTTATTATAATTTATTATGATGAATTGATTCAGAAGGAATTCCATAATTAAATGTTAATTTGGTAATGTTTCTTTTGTATCTTTAGTTTTGAATAATTCCATGTTAATTTTAATATCTTCTGCTTCACTTATAACTCTATCCAATATTTTTACTTATAAAATAATAATGATAGCATTGACAAAATAGAAGCGCTTATGAAAAGCAGGCTAAAACCGGATAATTTAACTGATTTTAATATTCTTGTTAGGCAGTCAAATTATTTTAATAAAAATTAGAAAAATTTTCGTTTATAAATTTTATAATATCTTTTAT